TTTTTTTTTTTTTTAAGTTTTTAAAGTTGTGAGTAGTTAAAATTATGTGATCTTGGACCTTTTATTCAGTGTGTACCATTGAAAAGACTGTAAATCTTTAGCTTAGCTTAACTTGGTATTGGAATCTGAAATATTCCTTTAAGTTGCATTTACAGTAAGTTGTACAACAGTTAAGTTGTATTTACAAGACAGAACATTCGTTTGAGCCTTTGTAACAAATTCACCTTTAACTGACAAAGTGATTTCTGTAGTTATACAATGGAAAGGTATTGCAGAATTCGAGTAGAACAAATCTCTTACCACTCCAGAGATGAAGACAAACATTACAGAGTGGCCAATATCACCTAACTTAATCTAGACAAATGAAAAAAAACTCTATAATAACCACAGGAAGACAAAACAGGGACAGGCTGAACATATGAATGAAGAAAGAAGCTGTGGACCCTGAATTTTTCTGTCCCTGCCCTGAATACCAATAACAGGAGATCTACAGCACACACACTGATGTAAACCCACACACAAACCCACATCCTTCTACACAAGCAAAATAGAGCAGACGATATATATATCTTTCATAGGATGTCACAAGTCAGTTTGTTGAAATTTCATCGCTGCTAGATATTCCACAGTCAACTGTAAGTGGGATTACTGGAAATTGGAAGCATTTAGAGAACAGGGTGGGTCATTAAGTGCTGGTGCGTAAAACTAGAGCATTGCCAACGCTCTACTGATTTGATTAGCTGAAGAGTTCCAAACTTCCACTGGCATTAATATCAGTACAAAAGCTGCATGGCGAGAGCTTGATGGAAAGGGTTTCCATGGCCGAGTAGCTGCATGCAAACCTCACTTCACCAAGTACAACACCAAGCGTCGGATGGAGTGTGTAAAGCATGACGCCACTGGACTCTGGAGCAGTGGAAACCTGTTCTGTGGAATGACAAATTAGATCTTCTCTGTTTGGTAGTCTGATGGGCAAGTCAGGGTTTGGTGGATGCCAGGAGAACATCATCTGCCTGACTGCATTGTGCCCACTTCAAAAGTTTCTTATTTAAAACGTGTTATTGCAGCGTTGAACAATGTGGCTAATCACAGACATGTCTGTTGATTTCTTGAACGCAATGGCCAATCAGGTGTGTTTAAGTTAGAATCCACTTACCATTCAAAGCGCTGGAGTTTTCGTTCAAAGATAAGTTACAGAAGCTTGTAAATCCTGTCATTATAACAAAGTGTATAAACGATGTAAATAAAATTACTTACATTCATTGTGCAATGTAGAGAGCTTCATTGATTATAAAAGAACTTTGTGAGATTGCGATAAACTGAAATGAGTGACAACTTTTTAGTGATTATAAAAAGAGTGTTCTGTGCACGCTTTCTTGAATATCTAATCCATTCAGAATCTGAATAAAAGTTGTTTTTTTGTTTTTTTCATGCTGCTAAAAGGAGCAACATGGTGTACACACTGTAAAGTTTCAGGGTCGCGGAAATTTATGTTGCATCAATTTAAAAAGAAGAAAAAAGGGTCGCTCTTAATAAAAAGTTTGAACACCATTGCTCAACTAGATGAACAGGCATAAATTCCCACAGATACTCTCCAAAATCTTGTGGAAAGCCTTCCCAAAAGAGTGGAGACTGGTATAGCTGCAAAGGGGGTCAAGCTCCAGTTTAATAACTTTGTATTTAGAATACAATGTCCCTGTTGGTCTATTGTTGGTCTAATGGTCAGGTATCCAAATACTTTCTATATAGTGTATCTAGGTAGACTTACTTTGACAACAGTAGGGGCGTGCTCTCAAAATAGGGTGAATGATGCAACATAACTCCAGCAGGCATCTCTGGTACTTCATTAAAGTAGACTCTACAGTAGAGTTGCAAAGACTGAAAAACATCTTCTCTCTCTCTCTCTCTCTCTCTCTCTCTCTCGGGTCATGAGATCAATAGCCATTTGATTCTCCACAAACAGTGAGATATTCTCACAAAACAATTTTATGAACTCTGTAAGCCACTGAAATTTAGGTTCAGAGTTGAAAGAAAAACTTAGGAGGGATATTAACCATGCTGACATGAATACTGCAGTAAATGGATGCAGAATGAGGTCTCAAGACGTTTTTTTTTTGTTTTTTTTTATACATTCATACAGTATATCAGCATGGTGTCGGCAAGTTATATACTCATAAAAATGTGTACATATATCTTAAATCAAAACTCAAATATACTCTTACATTCAAATTCATTCTTACAGCCAGACATACATTTGTCATACTGTTTGAAGGACTACACTACATGAGTACATTAGGCCACTCACAGCATAATGGTCACATCAGAGCAGAATTAGTCTCCGTGAAAGGCACACAAGATCTGTTTCCTCGGCTTTCATGTAAAGCTTGCTGGAATGCAATCAGATGCCATATTAACTGGTGTCTTTCACACCAGTGTGGGCTACATGTACGCATCACTAGGGATGAAAAATAGCATTTGCTTTAACAAAGAAGATGAAGGAAGAGGAGAAATAGGAAAGAAGATGGCATGCAAGATGGCTGTTTGGCATGATATGTTTACTGTTTCTTTGAGGAACCAGTATTGATGAGCTGAGGTCTGGTCATTTTTACAGACTCTCATTTTGGTGGTATATGTAGGGACTTTAGCCCTATTCGGAGGGGACTAATTTTCTAAACAATGTTTGAGTTACAGGTCTTATCACCCGACGTCTGTGATTCCATGTACCGATTCGGACGAGAATAACATCTCTGTGTTTATTACAGAGATGGGAGGGTCTGTTTTGTACATCTGGGCATTAAACAAACATGCTACGATAATTTTCATAAAGGTACATATGTAGCATAATTAAATCATTATGTAAATGAGTGCAGAAATGAAGACGAGTAATCTTACCTGACGCTGATATTACTGTAGCCAGTCTTAACAGTTTATGCGATCTTCTGTGAAACACAAATTTCTCTAATGCCCCCCCTGTAAAACTAGTGCTGTACGAAAAGGGCTTTAGTTGATACAATATAACACAGTCAGTATCGGTCCTAGACCCAAACTCACTGTCAACAACAACTGATACATTCAGTCAGAGTTGAGTTAGAAATAAAAAAGGAAGAATATTACAAACAATAGAAAAAATAAATACATAAATAAACAAGTTAGATATAAAATAATAATAGCCTACTATACAGAAACTGAATAAAGTACTCAAATTTAAAAATAAAACACTGCATAGTTTTTACCATATGGATATATATGAATTCTTATTAAAGTTACTAAAGTTATTCAGTCAAGAGCAGTTAATGATTTTCTAATTTTCTTTTGTTGTTTGATTAACATTAAATGACAGGGACAACAGCAGGTTTATTAAGCTGTCACTTTATGACCGAATGCACAGATCTAATGCACTGACAAGCATTCAGTTACTTTCCTAACTGTTTATGTTCACTTAAGACTGAAACTGATTGTGTTTAAGATTTAAGTTATATCTCAAATGACAAGGGATTAACCATGTTTATATTAATTAACCCACAAACTCATTCTCTCAGATGGCCTGGGTATGCATATTGATATACTGATATACTGCATATACAGTGCCCTCCTTAAGTATTGGGACAGTAATGACAAAATTGCTTTGTTTGCTGTGTAGTCAAGACATCTGCAAATATGATTAAAAGATGAATATGAGACAAAACTGCAGAATGTCACATTTTATTATTAGCTGTTTTAACACATACATGTTTTACCAAATAAAAAGGACAGCACTTTTAGAGTTCATTCCACTATTTGATGTGAGCATAAGTATTGGAACAGTTGAACTTAAGGCATATGTAAAAGATTAAAAGCTATAATTTAGTTGCAGATCCCTTGTGTGCAATCACAGCAGTGAGTCTGCGACCCATAGACATCACCAGACTCTTGGTCTCACCCTTTGAAATGTGTTTCCCTGTTTTTAATGAAGCCAATTCCAACATTCATGCCCATGCATAGCTGAACCTCCACCATGCTTTACAGATGAGGCTGTATGCCTTAGGATCATTTGCAGTTCCCTTTTTCTCCACACTTTTGCTTTCCCATCACTTAGATAAAGGTTAATCTTTGTCTCATCTGTCCATAAAACTCCAAATCTCTACTGGCTCACATTTGTGCTTTTTTGCAAACTTGCTGATCAGAGGTTTGCATCTTGCTGTGTAGCCTCTGTAATTCTGCGTGGAAGTCTCCTGTGGACAGTAGATTGACAGAGCATCACCCCAGCTTTCTGGAGGTTATTGGTGATTTTACAGACACGTATTTTAGGGTTCATTTTCACAACTTTTATGATTTGTCTGTCATCAACTGCTGTTGTTTTTCTCAGCCGAGCAGGTCGTTGTTGGTTGCTGATGTCGCCAGTGGTTTTCAAACTCTTAATTTCTACATGTCTTTTGTTTTTGCTATAGCTCTAATTGACTTCCTCTTTTCTTTTAGCATCCAAATTGCTTGGTTTGCAGCTCCCTCGTCTTCATCCTGGTTTGTGTGTATCGTCATCAAATGCAAGACTTAGAATGCAGAAGCAATTGATATAA